GAGCTCAAAAAAGGTTTGTTAGATATGCCCTAAGAGTTAACTAAGGGGCTGTTTGGTTCCCAACCACAGTTTGCCAAGCCAAAATTTGGCAGCCACAGTTTAGTTGGCATGTGTTTGGTTTTTGCCACACTTTGGCTTGCCACACTTTATTGCCCCTATGGTCCATTTGTCATAGAGACAAATTTTTTGCCAACTTTTGCCAAAGTTTGACGTCCAATTTCTCAGCCACACTTGTGTGGCTTGCCATACTTGCGTGGCTAGCCACACTTTGGCTTGGCCACACTAGTCTCCAACCAAACAGACCCTAAAACATCACGTAAAAAAAACTAAAACATGGTCCATGGGATGGAAACGATGGATAGATGACAAAGCAAAGAACCCTCCCGATCTCGAAGGAAATACATGGAACCCTGATTCATCAACTGGGAACATGATACATAGAGTGAGTGATAACATGGTTCAGCTGAATACACCATCCATTTGGCGAGACAAGCTGACTAACATTGTTGCATCATCCATATACCTAGTCACCTAGAAATATATGCGTGAATCATCTCACTTCTCAAATCCGGCTCATTACTACTAATCATCCCACAAGTTTTTAGTAGTGCTACCACATCATTATCTCACATATAAGTTTACTTAGTAGGATGAAAGGGCGTTATCTCTCCATCAGGCCATGAGGTAAAGATCTAGCCATCATTGGATGAACCAACGATAGTGAGATCTGCCTTCACAACGCAGCTCGATCCTACAACATAGCCTCCCGACGGATCCTTGAGTTTCTTGAGTCCAAGGAAGTTAGGCCATCCCCATCCTTGTCCACATACCCAGAGACCTGAGATCACCACAAAAGTAAGATCAACTGCAGTCATCATCAGGTTACAGACACTAGCTGCTTGATTCACACATATCAGTAGCACTGATACTTGCTAAGGAAAGTTGAACCTGAAGTTCTAGTGAAGTGTTTCCCATTCTTTTGGTCCAGGATGGACAGAGTCATTACAGCCACCTTCTTGGACTCGAGTTGGAGCTCATCCGAGGCATCCGGGTATAAGTACAAGCTGAGGCAATCGG